TGAGCAACGTCTGCCACACCATGCACTATTCGCAGACATCGGTCTAGGCTGTAAGAAATAGCGAGGTGGACGGGCTATGACGTGGCGCATAAGGTTATATATATATATATGTATAAAGCACTGCTTCTTTCGAATCGATAAGAGACATGTTGGAAGCTTTCACTCAGAACTGACAGGAAGTATTCAGATTCAACCACTCTCTTCTAGAGGATAGANCAATCGGTATGCTAGTTCACTGTACGGAACTCGATGTCCTTGAGATACATAAAAATAAAATGAAATCTCCAATTGACATTTGAAAACTAATTTGAGGGTGTGTATGGTAAAGTTTTTAGTTGTTGATGTTGCAACCGCTGGTGTTTGGAATTGATGGGATGTGTGAAGTTGGAAAAATGGATAACAGCGATAAAATGTAGCGAAAACCGCCACCGGGAATGCCATATTTCTAACTCGCTATTTCCCTCTTAATCGGGTACTGCATACAGAGGATTGTACTACAGGGGCTGATCAGACATGCGCAGCACCTATCCAGCTCAGTTAATTCTACCCCCACAAATGTTCTATTGAGAACGACATCCAATTTAACGTCTTCAAATGCAAGATGATTTCGCTACGCCACTATGGTCGGTTTCCTTATTTCCTCGGAAACGAACTAGTGCCACATGCAAAAACAGAGAAGGACTTGGGTGTTATAGTCCATGAAGACCTCAGCTGTTCTGTTAACTGTGCCAGAGCGTCATCAGCACTCAAACATGTCAGTCTACTTAAACGTGCTTTCGGTCGTTTTGAACTATCTTTATTCCCACTCCTGCTGTCAGCATACATACGGCCGCATATCGAGTACGCCATCTAAACCTGGATCGTAAGATTTTGGAGTGTCCACAAAGGCTCGTCACGAAGACTGTTACAGGATTCTATTATGATTCGTACATGAGGAGACTGCAGTTATTGGGTCTATACTCTGCTCAGTATCGTCGGATTCGAGGAGGCTTGATTTTAGTGTACCGAATATTGCACAACTCAAACCACCCTTGTCGCCTACTTTTGACGTTGTCATCAAACGTTAATCTACGGGGACATTCATTCAAGTTACTACTCCGAAAATCTCGGCTGGACTGTCGACGTCATTCCTTCGCTGTCAGAGTGTGCACTGTGCAATTTTTCACCATCTCATGCCACGCCGATTGATTCTCTCAAGGTAAAACTTGACGAATCATTAAAACACAATACATTTCAACAAATCAGAACACATAACAACCGAATAGAACATATGGAATTTTATTCATCATTGCTACAGTACAATTCATGTAAACACCCTATGGGACGAGAAAAGCATCTGTTTGTAAATAATGCCCATGATAAAACTTTGACTTTGAATTACTGCCGGCACGAAATGGTTTATTGAAGTATCAAACGGTTTGCTAGTCAGATACTATTGAACCGATAGCTCCCTCTAGTCTGTTTTAAACTAGGCAAACACTATTGATTGAAAACCTTGAGTCGACTTCTGCAATTCGCACTCAACGTCAACCTGCCACAGGCGTAAAGGAATGAATGCACTACGGCACAGTATATGTGAATTTTCAGACGAAGCTTAAACATAGTTGACTAAATAAGTGCTTCACAGCTGCATATACCGCAGGAGCTTTGTTCACACTGCAAACATCAACCCAATTGTGTGGGTATTGTGATTCTGTAGGTATTCAGATGAAATCTACAGACACCACCCTTTTAGCTAAAAAAAATAGTACTAGAAAAACGTGAAACTTTAGAACGTCAAAACTGAACAGATAACGCGTTGCAATGGTGTCAATTCATTCTATTTTTTTACATTTTATTCGATAAAGAGGTAGGTAACTGAAGTGGTACAATTCATAGACCACATGAACGATGATGTGCTTGTGGGAATGGGTATATTACGTTCGGTGGTTTGAAGCAGTGATTCAAATTCGACCCATGCCGTTGAGCTAGATGACGGCTAAGACACTTACCAGTANTTTTCCTTCGGAAAGAACTTCTAAATGGATACCTCAGAGGGGAACCAACGGCTTTTGAGAGTTTTGTGAAATTCGGAAATACTGCCTTTGGTGCAAATGGCTGTAATCGTCCGCGAGGATTCTAGATGAGACATTACTGTAACACACAGAAAGCCCAAAAAACATTTGGTGAACTATTTACCCTGTGAACTAGCAACAAAGGAATGTTTCGAACTCACTCTCTTGGTTATCGCCTGCATCGCCGGACGGCATATTGGGCGAAGCACCGACTGTTGCCACAGGTTGTTTGGTTACCTGATAGGAGTTCGATGTAGGTGCGTTGGACGATTTCTCAAGCTCATCCTCATCCTCTGAAGATTCACCGCAGACCGCGTTCTCATTGGTCTCAAAAGCGGGAATCTCGTCAGACATTTGGCCTAGAAACAAAAAATAATGCATGACGAAGTTTCTTACTCAACCATATAAAAACCCATCTGCGTTTTCAAAGATGCCTCCGATAGTGATATATTGTTAAAAGTGATGAGCATCAAGTAAGAGCTGTTTCGACAAAGAATAGTATGACCTAATTAAATTATTTTGAATGGCAGCTTGAAGCCTCAAAACAGAACATTGTTCTTTTACATGGCATTTTATTTATTTACATTTCACACACGTCTGAGTTCAAGCTGTGCCAAACAAATCGCGGTATAATCTTTATAAAAAGAAAACCGTTCCGTGATTTGCATGTGGGTTGAATACTGCCAGGTTGCCCAGGCCAAGGCAGGTGAATTTTTTTTGGAGAATCCGCAACTGGAGCTTTCGGCTAGCCAAAGCTTGACCCGTAAGGCACCGGGGCAGTGTGTGAAAACCGCAATCCATTAGGGGCCGGTGTCCAGTTCATCGGATCATACGTCTTTCGGACGTGGTCAAACGTTCAAAGTACCCAATACACCCCGATGTCCAATTGAGCCGGTGACAACTGCCACAACCGGAAAGGTGTGGATGAGGTTCGTACGCCTCCTTTTGGTTGGTTTGGAATCAGGGTTTTCGGCCAACTCCCCTAGGTGAACTACCAGTGGTCCACCAACCCGGTTATAGCCCCAGGGGTCGGTTTCTCGTCCTCTCGCTTTAGTGATAAAACACCTGGCATGGCATCCATATGGTCAATACCGAGGTGACTACACATTCAAATAATACCTCTTCAACTTTATACAAAGTGTAGCAAAGCGAACTGTGTTGAGTGATTCCAAGCTCACAATGTGCACAAGTTGAAGCCGAATGTGTAAAGTGGATTGGAGATTGGCTTGTTCAGATGGAGGGAGGAAAATAAAGTGAACGACAATGCCTAACAAACATAGTACACAATCGACCTTTGCATAAAGACGTTTTCAAACATTATGATCTGATAATAAATGATGGCAAGACCATGCAGTTGTCCATTTGCTAGCATGTCTCTTGGAGCTTCGAACCAACCAGCTATAATATTTATGGGCCACAGCTCGGAACGCGACAGATATCCATTCTACGCAACCTCATTGTGAATTTCTCCATGCCGCGTTTTTATGTCCTTTGTCGACCTTCACATGGTATCCTTCAAATAGGGATCGACAACTGCAGTGGACAATTGCTAGATATGCTCAACACTCTGAATTCCTTGTGGTAAGCAACTATTTTCGAAACAAACAAAACGGAATAAAGAATATCCTACCTCGGTGCTGCTAACAGGGTCGCTCCAACCTACTTCTGAGAAACTGCTTGATCACAGACCGGCAACAAGCTCCAGTTTTCCGATGCAAACTCAAGGTCTCGTGGTCGTCAAACGGAACAGTATACATGGTCTATCCACTTCGATGCAACGTCAAGTCCACGAAAAGGACGTTTCTATCTGATGTACGCTGCTCGAGTCTAGATAAATTTTAAACGAAACCCCCAAACATACGACGACTTATCTCTGTGTTACCCACACGATTTTTCCATCCAGCCTGCGCCAAAATATACAAACCTGGATGGCTGAAAACGTTTAATCGATGTATGCCGCCCACACGCAAAATCGCTCTCAAAACCCTGAAACAGAACTGACCAAAAGGTGGCAAGTATATGCGATCTTTTAACTTCATTGACACGTTAAGTCGACGCCAAAGGTACTTTAGTTTCGCGTATGGTGCTCGGGCTTTGGATGTACACACGGTCACTAGGTTACCTACTTACCAAGATAGAAAGAACAACTAACCACAACGAACTCCGGATTCTCTGGTCTCAAAACAGGGATCGTCGACACACCGTTTGACAGCACCAATTAGCGCATTATTAGTGCAAAATGCACACTGATTGAAACATCGAAAGTTAGTAGACTGCTTGGTGTGATTTGAGCATAACCCACGAATTATAAGAGATATATGACGGCCGTTGTGTTCCAGATAAAACAGATTTTCCCCAAATATTCATTAAATCCCGGTATACTGGAGACCACTTAGGGCGTTCTCCGACATTTTTTAATTCATGACGATGTTGAGCAACGATTATCATCATCATCATCATCGTACAGTTCCGTGCGTGAGGGACTATTAAAGATCGGAAGAGGGGGCAAAGGGAGCGTGATGAGAACGGAAGACAAACAGTTAAATAAAGGTTGGGATATCTGAGCAGTAGCTCATTTACCCACTCCGTTCGATGCAATGGGCAGCATGAGCCTGATTATCCTGCGCGACGAACGATGCAGTATGCAATTAGTCTTAACTTGTGTAAGCATTGAGGTTTGAGCAACGATGGAGAATTAAAGCACCTTGATGGTACAAAAATGAGCTTTGTAGTTAGCTATAAACTCCCATATTTGAGGAATTCGACTGCCGAGAGGCGAATACAAAGTCTTTTCCAGTTACAGTTTTAACAATCACAAACGTTGCATTTTAGAGCACTGGCTAACCATAAAGTTAATACCATCATCAATGTACATCGAGACACAGTGAAGAGAACTCATCGCTGCCAAACTCACAATGCATATCAAGTTAGTGGTAATATGTAAGATGGACAAGGATTGGACCTATTTTGAGGAAGGGACAGAAGGTGAACTTACATGGTCAACAAACAGAGTACACAATCGTTGTGTCCCAGGTTAACTCGGCAGAAAAACACGTACTGAATTAAGGAACACGTTTATTGTAGACTTCAAATATGTAGCCGGTTCATAGACCAGAAAGCAAGCAGAAACGGACAGCGGGTAGGAAGGCAGGCAGGCCAACACANCAGGTTCATATGCCGTCAAGCTGGCATTCAACAGCCAGCCAATCGATCAATCAATCAATCTGGCCACATGTATGCATGACAAACGTATCAGGCGGTTGTAACCTCTAGCAACAATCTTATTGTGCATACATACCGTTTCAGGCATTTCGTCCTGATAAGAAATGACAACAAGAACGCTACTGCTGTCGGTCCGCTGCCTTATCCTTCCATGTCACCCACCGATCAGGTGAAGAGTCTATTAGACCCTAATCTGCGAGGCGCGAGACACCTACTCTACCAATAGCGCAGTACATTCCTTCATGTCTCGTCTCCACGGGGTTTTTTCCAACCCGGAGCGAATACAGAGAATAAAGCGCGATGTGGTAGACGGTAGCTGGACATACTCCCTAGCCAGCGAAGCCTACTAATTTGCATTTGATCACCTAGCACATTTGTCCCTGAAAGGCTTTCAAACACACGACGGCTTACCTCCAGATCACTAACCCGTCCGCTTCAACCCATGTGGGCTAACAACGTAAACACCGATAATTGGAAACTTCCGGTCGATGGATACCTTTCGACTTCAGTAAAAAATCGCGTCTAAATCAAAGGTGCAAAGCACATACCGAATGTAGCAACAACACTTGCTAGTCTATCAAGTGCACCTTGCTCATCCTCCGTACGTTCGAACAGACAGACGATGTCATAGGTGTACTCTAAATTGCACAGCATTTGGAGACCACTTAGTGTGTTCTCTATCATTTAGTCTATGATAAAATTGAACAGGAATGGCGGGAGAGGGCACCCTTAACAAACAGCCTACTTGGTTCCTTATGAAACCTCATCCGACCACAGGTAGGCGATTACAGTGAACTCAGTAAGTCAACGTAATTCTGGGGCATTTCTTTTCGAAGAAAGGAATCCATTAGATCTTCGCGGTCAACTGAATCTAAGGCTCCTTTCAGGTCAAGAAACACTACGATCTTTGGTCAACAGTGGGTGTTACGCAGCTCAAGGACCTGACGAAACGCAAGTTTGATTAACACATCCACGATCAGGACGGAACCCGATCCGCTGTTCCCTGACGTTGGTTTCTCCTAAAGGAATTAAACATCGAAGAATGACGGAAGCTAACACTTTGGTAACGATTGGGGATAATTTATCACACAGTGATTTGCGCAGTCGTCGCGAGACCTCTTCTTGAGAAATGGAACCCGTTATTGATCCCTCCCTCCCCGAGATGAAGGAATGCGCTTTTGCGTCCAAATCTCGTGCAGTCAATTAGTAACAGGGTTTACGAGGTTACCATCCTCATCTTGAAAATAGTGAGAAGGAGCCCGTCTGGTTCTGTTGCTTTTCCTCAGTTTCAGAGCTTGAATGCAAGATCAAGCTTCAGTTTCTTCCGCAGGATTTCACATCACTGCCCACGGAGCTTCAGTTACAGATGAATTAACCTGGTTAGCACCATGCCGGGTCTACTGTTCGTTGAAGTATTCCCTCCAGCGATCAAGTGGGTCATCCGTATTATGAATAAATTGTCCCCTCTTATCGCAGAATGCTTCGCCAACCTCCCGCATTGTGCATCAGTCTACGGTGACCTGGGTAGGTCATTCGTAATCAGCAGTGGTATTCGTCAAGGGTGCCCTCTTTCGCCATTCCTGTTCAATTTCGTTATAGACGAAATACTGAGGAACATACTAAGTGGGCTGCAAAATGTGGGTATGGAATGGGCAGTTGGAGAAAAGCTGTGCGACTTGAAGTACGCTGACATCGTTTGCCTGTTCGAAACTATGGAGGATGCGCAAAGACCACTTGACAGATTAGCAAGTTCTGTCGCTCCGTTCGGCATGTACTTTGCACCTTCAAAGTGCAAAGTGATGCTGTAAGACTGGGTGTCGCCGAGTTCCGTTCTGAAACTAGACCGTCAGGAATTAGCTGAGGTTGACTGCTTCTCGTACTTAGGTAGCTACATGACCAACGAAGGTTGCACACCAAAGGAGATAACCGCCCGCATTTCAAAGGCTCGAGCAGCGTACGCAGGACTGAAACACCTGTGGCGGCGGCGTGACGTGTTGAAAAGTCGCGTATACTGCGCCACTGTACGATCCGTTCTGCTTTACGGATGTGAGACCTTGAACTTGCGGGTAGAAGACATCCGTCGCTCAGCGGTTTTCGACAATCGATCCTTACGTACTCTGGCCCAAGTGGGATGTAGTGAATGGGTTGGTAACTTAGAAATGATTCGTTGGGTGTTTGGGAATGCAGCTGACAAGAACTCGCTATCGCATCGAATTCAGCTCAATAGGCTCCGTTGATTAGGATACGTTTAGTATATATCTGATGATCGTTTACCGCAAGGTACCTTATTTGCGGTGGCTGCTGCAGGCTGGAGAAAGCCAAGTGGAGACCAGTAGATGACGTGGAGACGAGACATGAAGAAATGCACAGAGCGATTAGGTAAAGTAGATGTCTCTTGTCTTCCGGGGTGGGATCCAAAAGACTCCGCAACCGCATGTTCGGAGACACTGAAGGTCGTGGCTGCGAACCGACAGCAATGGTGATCTTGCTGTCACTTTTTATCAGACCATAATGCTTGAAGTAGTACGTATGCACAGTTATGTTGTGTACTCTGTGTGTTGACCATAGAGGTTCGCTTTTTTTCCCGTCCCTAAAAATAGGACCAACCTCTGTCCTCTCTATACGTTATCACTTACCTTGTATGCAATACCAGTTTGGCAGTGTTCAGTGAAGTTCGCTTCACTGTATTACGCTGTATAATGATGATCAATCGGAACCGTGTTTGATTATTCCCGGATGCAGTTGCGCCTCCGTTGGGCTTTAGGCTTAGTCCCACAAGCAACATTAGCAGCGGAATCCATTGCTCGCCTAATCTGATCCCACCGCTCATCAACATCATCACGTTGAGGCGCGCTTAGCTCACGCCCTAGCTCTGACTCATAGAGTGCACGAACTGCCGGAACAGCTATTCGATGACGAGCTATACGAGTTTGCTGAATTCCTCGCCGGCCAGTCAGTCGGACAGTAAACGGCATCAAACCTAATGCGTGGTTAAACTCAAAGCAGGTGGTCCAACAGGACCTGGAATTTTGCACTGAGCCACGCCAATGGCAGCTTACTACTATGTGGTTGATTTGAGTTAACGTACCAGTTGAACTGGAGTGCCACGTTGCCGTCCATTCAGAGCTGTGTCGGAAGTTAGTACTAGATAGGAATAGATGATGATTTGCGCAGAATTGAAGAAGTTGATCACCGTTATCTGTTCGTTGGCATCGCAGAGCACAACTTCCGCCTAGACAAGCTTCTGATGCGCTTAGTTTTCCAAATTGCGCGTTAAAGTCACCTGGTCACCATGGGTTTCAGTGATTTATTTACAAGTAACCTACAAGTGGGTATCCCTGTTGCTAACATGTCAACGCATACTACTAATAAGCGGAGGATATTGATGAGTCGTACTGAACATGGAAAATGCAAAATGATTGGATACTAAAGCTATCTGGCAGGATCTTAGTGGTTGAACAGGCTCGTTGCTTCGAAAGCCCCAGTATGGTCAGGGGTGGACGTCTAGGGTTGCGGCTGGTTACCATTCCCTTGAATATCGCAAAATGCTCCCATAAGACCAAGTGTTTCAAACAGCCTCTGTTGAGGAAGCCCTAATCACTGTCTTCACGTGGCGGTGTTCTCCCATTAAAGTGAGAGAACGAAAAGCCGTTATCCGGGGATATAATCGGGTTGGTCGTTCACCCAGGGGAGTTGGCCCAAAAACTCTGATTCCAAACTAAGAGGAGGCGTACGAAACACACACGCACACCTCCTCGGTGGCAGTGGTCACCAGCTCGATTGCGCATGGAGGTGTATTGGTCACTTTGGACGTTTGACCCCGCCTAAAGGGCGTCTGATCCGATGAACTGGACACTGGTCCCCAATGGATTGCAGTTTTCACACACTGCTCCGCTGTCTTGCGGCTGAGGCTTTGGCTAGCCGAAAGCTCCAGTTGTGGATTCCTAAAGAAAATTCACCCGGGAAACCTGACAGTATTTGGCCCACATACAAATAATGGGACGTTTATCTTTTTATAAAGATTATTTGTCCTTGATGTGTTTGGCACACAGTCCGGTGTCAAAGGCGTGATATATATATATATATATATCACGCCTTTG